TTGCACATAATTGATGCATCTAACTTTGTAAATCATTTATCACATAATTGCTTAACATTTGCTGTGAAACATTTGCCCTGAGAAGAGGAAAATCATGTTAAAGAATTCAAAGTTCCTAGTTGTGAATTGATTCCTTTTCATGTTGTACTTCATATTCTGGTGAAGAAGTTTGTGGGTGAGTAGACTTTGGACTCAGAGAAAAGGTATTCAGTGGTAAATAGATGGTAAGTCATCAGGGAACTCAATATCTCACCTCCTAAGGGAGAAGTGGCCTCAATTTGGAGTCCACAGGCTGTCCACACTTAGGACTGTTAAGAATATGAGAATCTAGGACAGAAAAACTACAGAGGCCAGTAAGGCACCAGTGGAACAAGGAGGATGGGGTGTTTCTGAAGTACCATGAAGAAGGGATTCACATCAAACACTAGTCAATTCCAACTGCACTGTAAAGTTACACATTCTGCAAATACTACAGAATCTATGAATAGACTTTTCCAAATTTCCTTCAACTAATATTGCCTGTGAATCATCTATGGCTAGTAGTATTTAATTAAATTAACTGCACTAATGTTAGCATTTCTAGAGGATAAAATATATTTGTATATTTTTAAATTTCTTGTATATTATATACTTGTGTGTGTGTGTGTGTGTGTGTTTGTGTGTTTGTGTGTGCATTTCTTTTTTTTTCTGGAGAGTATCATATATTTAAAGCACTTTTCCTTCCCTTACTTAAAAAATATCTATAAGGCCTACTGATTTTGTTTGTATTGACAGAATTTCCCACTACACTTAGAAAAAGAAAAAATGACAGAATTTTTATTATGAGTCTGTGAAGGGCAGGATAAGAATAAACAAGGTTACACTCTGTGGGGGAAGTTGTCCTTATCAGTGTTTATTTTATTTTTGTTTTTTTTAAATATCTTCTTAATTATTGATCTTTTAATTCCAAATTACATCTCTATTCAGGGTCATAATCCCTGAAGGTATTTTTGTTACTGTTCCAAATATTTTGTTTAGATATATATTCTTGGCCTGGAAATGAAGATGTTAGTAAGTAGTGTGGGCAATAACCTTGCTTTCTGTACAGGGGCAAGAGTCCTTGGGTTTGAAATCCAATCATGCAAATAGTTACTGAGAATGTGCAATAAATCTTCTTGGTTCTGTGAACAAGCAAACAAAGCTAACAAAATCCTCCACTTGTGGACCTTACATTGATGGTATAGTAGCTCACGGTATGTCATATTTACCTTCACCAGGCACTGTCATCAATTTATAGCACTCAGTTTACAAGGCAACAGTTCAATACTCCATGAAGAGGGCAAGGTCTACTCTTTTTGTAGACATGGAGGCAGATGGGCCGAGTGGTGAAATGACTCAGTCAAGGTCACAGAGCCCAGCAGGCATGGACTGCAATCCAACCCAGGGTTTCTGGGGCCACAGTCCCTTCCCCACACCAGAAATATTTTACTCTGATGGCATGAGGTTGGTGAGGTGGGGACATGAGTTTGACCATATAAGGTTGCCTGGGATCCACGAGCTAGGAGAAGAAACCAAGAAAGAGGGAAGGTAGGTCAGAGTCAGTAAACATGGGGCTGAGCTGTGGGCTGCAAGAGAAGACACATGTAGATGCACACGTTCACTGTTTGTGATCTGTCTTGTTTCATATAAAGATTAGGTAAATGAGTGCTAAATGCTGAAAATTTATATCAGTTGTGCCATTGGGAATCTGGGGAATTGTACTTCATTGTTTTAAAAGAGCAGAATATTCAAATGTTCTTCAAAGGCTTAGAATAGGTGCAGTGGTGGTCTCCAGTAGTGAACAGAAGTCACGGGGAGCAGAAGTAAGATGGTGGCATCATGACATAGAAGCAAGGCTGGAAGCGTGGAGGACTCTGCTCTAGGACATGTTACTGAAGTTCTTGGGTCATGGGCAGGAATTGCTGTTGAGACTTTGAGAAGGCAGGTTTCCAGAAATTGGGGTGTTGGCTGTTCATTTAATGACTGATCCCATTAAAAATCATATATTTAAAGCACTTTTCCTTCCCTTACTTAAAAAATATCTATAAGGCCTACTGATTTTGTTTGTATTGACAGAATTTCCCACTACACTTAGAAAAAGAAAAAATGACAGAATTTTTATTATGAGTCTGTGAAGGGCAGGATAAGAATAAACAAGGTTACACTCTGTGGGGGAAGTTGTCCTTATCAGTGTTTATTTTATTTTTGTTTTTTTTAAATATCTTCTTAATTATTGATCTTTTAATTCCAAATTACATCTCTATTCAGGGTCATAATCCCTGAAGATAGTTTTGTTACTATTCCAATTATTTTGTTTAGATATATATTCTTGGCCTGGAAATGAAGAAGGTGTTAGGAAGTAGTGTGGGCAATAACCTTGCTTTCTGTACAGGGGCAAGAGTCCTTGGGTTTGAAATCCAATCATGCAAATAGTTACTGAGAATGTGCAATAAATCTTCTTGGTTCTGTGAACAAGCAAACAAAGCTAACAAAATCCTCCACTTGTGGACCTTACATTCATGGTATAGTAGCTCACGGTATGTCATATTTACCTTCACCAGGCACTGTCATCAATTTATAGCACTCAGTTTACAAGGCAACATTTCACTACTCCATGAAGAGGGCAAGGTCTACTCTTTTTGGGGTTTTACCTATTCTTCTTAGGAGAACAAAGAGAGGAAGGATGGTTTCCCCACATGTGCTAAAGTGATAAGGAGAGAATGTTTCATTAACATCTATTCATCACAGGCACCCGGTGAACATTGGCTGAAATTCACCAACAATTCACATTGACAAATTTCTAGCAGAATAAAAATAATTTCACAACTCATAAGACATTATTTGTTAATAAGATATAAATGGAATTTGGGAGACAAACGGAAAGATTAGAGATAGAAATCGATGTAGAGATGAGAAAGAGAGAGAGTGATCCTATTTGATAATGTCAATGTTAAAAGGGGCATTTAAAGAATCAACTGATCATATGCCCCTATAAAGTGTCTGATTCACTGATGCTATGATTCAGGCCCTTAGAAATCCAGCCTCTTTGTTCTCAGAGCTTAAATAACTTGAACACCAGGTGGTGGACTTGACATGCTCATTGAACGTATGTTAGTTGCATGGGTATTCCCTGGTGACACTGTGCTTTCTTTTAGAATCAATTCAGCAGTGGTATTGTCCTCTATGTAGCACCTGCCACTTGAGAAATATAAACTTAAATTCCCCATTTCTGTTAATTTTCCACATAACATTTTAAACTTAAAAGAAAAAATAATGCAGTAATTTTTAGGCTTAAAATTTACGTGGTCATGTCCACATTCTCAGAAAGATTCTCCCAATTTCTGTATTATTTTCTCCAGGCTTCATCACTATCCCCCATAATTTCTGCTTTACAGCCCTGAGGTCTCCTCTTTAGGATATGCCCCATTTGCTCAGAGCAAAGAGCAGAGGCATAAAATGCAACTGCTGACCCTTGCCCACTAGGCTCAACTCTTGGGATGGGTTTCCCTACTGGCTTGTTCTGATGATAAGAAGAAAAGACAAATCTATGTATGTTATATTTTAGGAGATATAAAGAATGTATGCCTGTGAATACTATCTGACTTCATATAAAGAAAAATCAGGACTACTGATGTATAAGAAACAAATCACACACCTTCCATGTGACTGAGGCTCAGCTATTGATGTGATGTCGACTCTGTCAAGACTAGAGCAACACCCTGTTACTTGGCACATTAAGATATTACACTTCATTCTAAATGCAAGTATCCTGAGGCAAAGGGTTAAGCTTACAAGGAGACATGTGGAAACTTTCTCCATTTTTCTGTGAGCAATCTTAATAAAGTCATACCCAGGCACGGTTCAGAATACTGAGAAAAAATGGTCACAGTGGACTCAGTTCTGTCTAGTCAGGGCATCCCTAAGAATTTGGAGGCTGCTTTAGACACAGGTGAATGGATTACTCAGTGGAAATGGAGAAATCCTGAGAGGGATATGACTCTTGAAGTTCTGACAGGAGAGTCTCTATCTGATCAAAGTGCTGTATGTGACAAAAGACCAAATTTACATAAAGTGGAGTGTAGGAGATGTGGACACATATGAGTGACAGATTTCAAAATGGGGAAAAATCAAACTATTCAATACTCAGAAGAAAACGTTACTACCCTTTTATTGTTACTTGGTTTTGTTTCTGTTTTAGAATCTTAACTAAAATGGTGTCAAGGCCTGAGAGGAGAGAGCATGACATAATATTGGCAAACATGCAAAGACACACCATGACAAACATGGTCAGTCACTGCAGATCCCATTTGCTGTCATTGTAAGGAACAGAGCCCAATGTTGCCAGTCGGTTATTTAATATCTAACATGTGATGTTACACAAATTTCAGTAATTATATGTAATGTGTCTATTACAAAAATAACAAATAAACGTCAAATCTCAGCAATTTTGAACTGTGTGCAGGACAAATACATAACTATGGATAAAAGTTTTCTATTCAACTTTCAATACCAGAACTCTTTAATTTTATTTTTCCCAGTCCTGCTTAGCATACTCAAACAATGGGTAGACCAAGGCAGCATGAGTGGGAATTGTGAATGTCCCAGTTAAATAGTTTTATTTTTAAAAAGTCCATTTTACAAATTATGTAACTAAAAGGAACATATATGAAATACTAACTAATTCTGAAATTATTCACAACATGACATAATACTGGCAAACATGAAAAGACACACCATGACAAACCTCGTCAGTCGCTGCAGATCCCATTTGCTGTCATTGTAAGGAACAGAGCCCAATGTTGCTAGTCAGTTATTTAATATGTCACATGTGGTGTTACACAAATTTCAGTAACTATATGTAATGTGTGTATTACTAAAATAACAAATAAACATCAAATCTCAGCAATTTTGAACTGTGTGCAGGACAAATACGTAACTATTGATAAAAGTTTTCTATTCAACTTTCAATACCAGAACTCTTTAATTTTATTTTTCCCAGTCCTACTTAGCATAGTCAATGAATGGGTAGCCCAAGGCAGCATGTGTGGGAACTGTGAATATCCCAGTTACACAGTTTTATTTTTTAAAATTCCATTTAACAAATTATGTAACCAAAAGGAACATATATGAAATATTAAATAATTCTGAAATTATTCACAATGAAAAAGGCGTTTCTTCTCAAGGACTGAGCATCTATCCTGTGAACATCTGCTGGGTCAGATGTTTGATCTAGAAAAGTCTGTGGGGAGGTAATGATTGCTCATCCAGGGGCTGTGTCCAATTTTATCACTTGAAATTTTTATTACTTTAATGAAAGATAGAAATTTAAAGTCTCAAGTATAATTCTCTAAATGACTTTGGGTCATAATGAATATGAGGTAACATACTTCACCAGGCTTTGGAATGGAGAACTGTCTTCCTCTAAAGTAGGAGTTGCCCTTGTTTCCAGGATCTGGATGGAATCTCTGCTCTTCTCTTTTAAACTCTCTGAACCCTCATTGCTCAGCCCCTCCCCTGCTTTGCATGTTCCCTCAGAGCCCCATGAAGAGCATGTGCCCTCAAGGGAAGGCCTGAGGAGCAGCAGGCAGGACACACAGAATGATGGTGCCTGTTCTGCTCCTGGGGCTTCTGGGGCTCTACACCACAGGTGAGAACTTGGGGGTATGTGGGAATGTGGGGAGAGAAAAATTTCTTCACTTTGGAACATTAAAATTGCATTGAAGATCAAACACATATAGTTCAGGAGAATTATTTAAAGTAGGTTTTAGCTGACAGAAACACAGTTTACAAATTCTCACAGTATTAGGATGAAATACAGAAGGGAGGACCCTCAATTTTATTTTATTTTTTCTTTCTTCCTTTTTTTCTTTTTAATCTCAGGTACTTCTGGTGACATTCTGTTGACTCAGTCTCCCTCCTCTCTGTCTGGGGCTTCTGGAGAGAAAATCACCATCACCTGCACAGCCAGTCAAAGTGTCAAGCACACTGGTGGGAAAACCTATCTGAGCTGGTTCCAACAGAAAAGTGGACAAGTTAAGCAACTCATTTACCAAGTTTCCAACTTACAGACTGGAGTCCCATCGCGGTTCAGTGGCAGTGGGTCTGACAGAGATTTCAGCCTCACCATCAGCAGCCTGGAGGCTGAAGATGCCGCTGTCTATTACTGTTGGCAAGGTTCCTATAGTCCTCCACAGTGATACAGCCCATAACACAAACCCCACAGCAGCCCCCTGAGCCTCCATCTGGGCTGCTCCTCCTCCTCTGGCACCTGCTGCTCCTGCTCAGTCACCCTCTCTCTATCTGCAGTTATTTACATTACAGCAAAGCCAAGACCATGCAGCTGTTGAAACTGCCAGTCTGGGTTACAGTCAAAGGCCATCCAGTTGAATCCTTAATAATCTTAGAAGTATTCTCTGTGACTGATAATGCCTTATATTTATTTTCAATTTCAGGCAGGTAGAAAATATCCCTTGTCTTAAAAAAAAATCATTATGAGCCACTATGAGGCATCTGTGTTCTCCACGTGAAGGATAGAAAATAAGATTTTCTAACTTAAACCAAGGCTGAAAAGCAG